TTCATAATTGAATTCGGTAGTCGTTGTAATGTTTTTACTCATGACTAGCAAACACACCACGGTCATGTATAAGAGAACCAATATTGTGTGCATGAAGAAGAACTAACTACTGTTGGTACGACCTACTTTGGGCTCGCATAAGCCATTTTTACTTCGGTTAAATAGTAATTCGCCATGGGGAAAACCATCCACTTGTTTGAGCGTGGGGGAGGGTGTAAAAGGATAAGCATTATCCTTAGGAGAATGAATCTAGGAGACTCTGCATGGAAAGTACAAGTCCTACTAAGATTGTGCACGAAAACTATAAAAGCCCACAAGCATCACTTGATAGTAATTGAACTCAATTCTTTCTGAGAGCATAAAACTTTGTCTATTGTCAAGCCTACTGACTTAGGCATCGGAGAGGTTCCGGCACACACCCGGCTAGCTCACGTTTGTGTTTTCAGGTGATAAAGCGACGTCGTACGGAGAGCGTGGACTTGGTCAACAGATTATACGAGGAGAATTTTCCCCGTACAATTGCGCCGTCTGTGAATAACAGACAAGAACAAAAAACCTCTTGACTAAGCTTCTCTTTTCTCATTCAATGCACACATTGAAGACTTGCCGCAGTCCGCTGTCGACGACTAACTCCAGAGGGGGCGCAAGGCGTGAAGGATTACCCTCTGTCTCCATGCAGATCGTGACCCAACACATAATTCCAGGAGATGGCAGGGGAAGCGGAATAGCCCTCGACATTCTCAGAGTCCTGAAGGCAAAGGAGAGGATTGATCTCAAGCCCTGGAAGATCGCGTGAAGAACAAGATGAACTAATTCGGAAGATGGCGCACATGAAGCATTAAAACGCCAGATGAAGACTAAGATGTGGCGACAGGAGAGGGCGCAAGCACAAACGCCCTCCCACTCAGAGAATCGTAGTAGGAATACTACACTCTCCCAAGGAGAGAGCAGAGCCTCAGACAGCGACACTCACTCCTTATCTTCAAGACTCGTCACTCCAGGTCTGAGAGACAGAGATCCGAAAGATCATACACTGAGAAGCACATATTGGCCTTCACATCACACAAAACAGATCTAGACAAACGGAGCTGCCCAGTATCCGACTACGAACCGTGCTCGAGAGAAAAAGCACGATGCAAGGAGGATGCCAGGGCAAGGGATCCACACCGAGTTTCGCCTTACACGGTTGCTCCTCGGACGCATGGAAGCCGAGGTTGGAATGCCAATACCGACCGGCCTACGAACCAACGGACAAGCATTGGCAAACTACAGACTTCGCCGTTTGTCCCAGCGATCAGAAACGCGCCCTGCCATCAGCTTCCTTCAGCCGAAATTCAATACATATGAAGGAAGACGACCCATATTCACACCTGAGCCACTTCGCCAAGTCATCTTGTTACAGGCGAAACGAAGCCTTAATGTGCAATACTCTCCCCAAAGATGAAAAGAAAAAAAAAAAAAAAAAAAACAAACAAACAAAACAAAATATCCCCAAAGAATATGTGAGGGCATATCTGTCCAGCATGCACCAACCACACTCAAAAATGGACTTATCAGTGATGAATCCCCCCTCATATGGACTTGTCAATCAAACAAAAAATCAGCGGGATCAAGCGGAACATAATTCAGCCATATAGGATTTTCTGATAAATTTCTTATTTTTTTATATCTATGTAATAGTTAACGTAGCATTTTTTTATATAATTTTGAATACAAATTAAAGGGTCGTTTGACAATGACTTTTTTAGTTGGCTTTTTAATTTTTTTAGCATAGGACTTTTTTGTTTGTTTGGTTTTCTTGTTTGGTTTTTTTGGCTTTTTGGCATTAGAATGGCAAAATTACTCTCCACTTGGAAATGATGTTTTTTTGACTTTTTGTTTATATATGGGTCAGTTTGGTACTTTTGTAGCTTTTCTGTTTTTTTGTGATTTTATAATTTTTTTTTGTCTTTTTGTGATTTTTTAGCCCATATGGTTTGCCAAACCAGGGCTAACTATAAACTCAAAAAAACCTTAAAACATAAAGGGCTAAAATGAAAAAAATACACGTAAAAGATCAAATTGATCAAATATAAAAGGGCAAATTGTAATTTACCCATCTTCTTTAGGGATGTTTTGGGAAATGCATTTTTTGGCTCTACTTATTTTCCTGTTTAGGACTCGTTTGTCAATTATATATTTTAGTTAAAAAGTCACTATAAGTTGTCATATTACTCTTTCTATTTTTTTTTGCATATTTTTTTTTAAAAAGCTAAAAAGTTACTAAAAAAAATTGTTTCCAACCGAGGCCTATGAATTTTTTTTAAAAAAATTCGAAAAATATGAGGTTTCTAAATTATAATTTTTTTAAAAAAAAAATTGAGAAAAAATAAAAATAAGTTAAAATAAGCAATTTTAAATTTTTTTTTCATCTTTAGTATTTTTTTTTTAAAATTTTTTATAAAAATATATATATTTTTATGTTCGTCTCAATAAGGCGGACAGAAATGTAAAAAAATTGGCATAATTTTTAAAAGGGCAAATTACATATACCTCCCTTGAAGTTTAGCTAAATTACAGATACCCTTGAAGTTTCGGATATTACATCCCGTCCTCTGAGGTTTATATTTTCATAATAAATTGTCCCTGAGGTTTATATTTCATAACAAATTCCTCCATAATTTGTTATGCAAATATAACCTTCAGCGAAAAATTTATAATTTCTTAAATCTTAAGAGTATATGTAATTTAGTTAAATCTCGATGTTATATAATTTGTCCTTTTTAAAATAAAAAATACTAAAGACGGAAAAAAAAACTTAAAAAATTCGAAAAAAGAGGTGGCATCTTTTCCAAAATATCCATAGGCGCTCTCTCTCTCTCCACTTTCTGTTGTTGTTTGTGGAGAGAGAGAGAGAGAGAGAGAGGGCACAAGTAGTACAGAGAGCATCGTCGTCGGCAATGAACTCCAGCACAGGGACGTCGGCGGGGGGAGGAGGAGGAAAGTGAAGATCATGGCCGTCAACGACATCGGTGTTGGCTTATATGTCCGACCTCAACCTCAACCTCAACCTCAACCCTCCTTCCTATTGCTTCGCCGGCCCCAAAGGCGACAGTCTCTATCACTGGGTCGCCACCCTCATTGGTCCTTCTGGTTCCTTCTCTCTCTCTCTCTCTCTCTTGTTGAATTTGAAATTATAATGCTCAATTTTGAATATTGTTTGAAAATTTACATGTTAGTGTACTGGGGTTAGTTAGGGTACTAGCTAGGGGGAGAAGGAAAGGAAAATTAAAATTAAAACTATTGTGCCTTGTCTTTTTTTGAATATGGATCCTCAATTTAAAGCAAACATTTTTAATTCTTTAAAATAAAAAAAACAAAAAAAAAACAATGTAATGATTGGTTGTTAATACACAGACATAAGATAACAGGTCCAATTTTGCATTACCCATTTCTCTGTTGGATTTCTTGGGCCTCTTGAATGTGTTGTTTGAATGTAAAATATGAACTAACTTTGCAGTATTTTCTAAATGGTATTTTAGTTTTATGGTGCTGACCTTCACTGCATATAATAAATAATTTTAGAAAACAAAAATGTTCTAATCTTGCTTACTTGTCCAGTATGTTTTTGTAAAAGTGATTTCTTCGCATTCTTTTTGTAGGAACACCTTATGAAGATGGCATCTTTTTTCTTGACATAACATTTCCGAGTGAATATCCTTTCAAACCTCCAGAGGTATGCTCAAAAACATTCCAAATAAATACTGAGAATTACTTAACACATTAATTTTATTTTGTCTCCTCAAAAATGTCACATAAGATTTAGGCCCTGTTTGGAACTTAAGTTTTTAGTTTAAAAAAAAAAAAAATATTACAAGTTATCAAATCATTCTTTATTATTTTATATGCCTTTTCGTAAAAAGTTAAAAAGTTATTAAAAAAACTAATTCTCAAACACCCCTTTAGGCTGCATTTGGTTCATGAATTTTGGGATGGATTTGAAAAAAGAAAATGTGTGTGAAAAATAGGTGGATCCTTTCAACTATACATGCTTTAAGGAGTACAAAGTTTAAGGGAGTCCTTGTAATCATGATTCTGCATCTAATGCATGGATAAATAAGTATAATCGGTTTGGAAGCCTAAAGCAAAGTCTACAAGGCTATGAATGAACAAAAAATTTTGGTACAAACACACAAGTGTTCATGTTAGTGTTTAGGAGTTTTATTTAAATTTATTCTATCCGATGGGCAAGACTTTACTGGGAGAAATATAAGAGTGCATGTAACACTATTGGGTATTATTCCATCTTTTTATTTTATAATTTTAGGTTCAGGACTGCTGGTGGTGTTCAAAACTCGTATCTACCACTGCAATGTTGATTCTGCTGGCAACGTTAGTTTAGACGAGTCCGGATCATCTCCTTGCAAGTCCTCCTTGCAACGGCTGAGATCAGCTGTTGCACATCCAACGGCCATAAAAAAAAATATATAAAAAAAAAAAAAAAAAAAAAAAAAAAATTGAAATTACACTTTCCCGCTCAAAAGAAAACACAGTCTATACCGGCGAACCCACCCTCAGAATTGAAATTTCGTTTGGAATCAGAAGCACAAAAACACACAGTCATTCCTTCTTCTCCATTGAACCCACCCTCATCGGCGACCCAATACCGGCGGCGACCCAGTCTCGACGCCGTTGCAAGGACCGACGACGGTGAAACTAGAGGTTAGTCACGCTATGTCTCTGTAAATCAGGGGTTTGCCAAAATCGTGAAACCAGAGCCATATATTTGACATTCACGATTTTGGAGCCATATATATCATCTATTTCCAACACCAATAATATATCATCTATTTCATGATTCACTTTGGAGGCATATCGTGAATCAGTTTGACATATCATCTATTCTATTTCAGTTTGACGTTCATTTCCAACACCAATAATATATCATCTATTTCAGTTTGACATTCATTTTGGAGCCATATCGTGAATCAGTTAGCTATTTAGAGCCATATATATCATCTATTTCCAACACCAATAATAATCGTGAATCAGTTTGACATTTATTTTTGATGCGTAGTGGAGATTGAATTATGCTAGTGATTTCTTATCTTAGATTTTTCTACATAAAGTGAAACCAGAGGTTATATTCTAGAATGACAATTGTTGTGACCAATTGAGCTATCAGTTTGACATTCATTTCAACCTTTAGGTATATGCCATATTCTAGAATTGGCCACTAATCTACTTTTAACTTGATGTAGACAAAATTCATTGACAATTATAGAATGAGTATGTTAGATTATCTTATTAATTATGCTAACACACACTGTCATGTGCATCCATAATTGAATTATGCCAATGCATTATTATTAAAGATATTGGGTAGTCATTTCTTGTTTCGTTATCCAAGTGTGACAGTGAGTTCTTTGATCATAGTGCAGATATTGTGTTTTTTTATGTAGCCAAGATTTTATTTATATGGGTTTTCAGTTGCATTTTCTTATGGATATGGAACCTGAGAATGATTGTGCTTGGAAGCCAAAACAGGGAATGACATTCGATTCTGAACAATGTGTATGATTTTTATAATACATATGGAGGAAGAATGGGGTTTAGGATAAGAAGGAATTTTTGTAGGAAAAACAAGTTCACTAACCAACTTATTTGTAGACTTTTGGTTTGCAACAAGGAGGGATTTCGGAAGGTTGACAAACGAGACCCATTGGCAAAAAAACCCTAGAGCTGAAACTAGGACCGATTGTGAGACTCGACTATGTTAAATTAGACGAGGGTACTGGAAAATTTGTCGTGACTGATTTCAAAGAAAAACATAACCATGATCTTGTATCACCCGAGTGTGCCCACATGTTGCCGTCACAAAGAAAGATATCGACTACCCAAGCAATTGAGTTAGATTTGGCGGCACAATCTGGTCTTCGTTTAGGCCAGTCTTTTGAACTCATGGGTAGGGAAGCTGGTGGGAGGCAATGTCTTGGGTTTACAAAATTAGATCAAAAAAATTATTTGAGAACCAAACGACAACAAAGTTTAGCATATGGGGAAGTAGGCAATGTGTTGCAATACTTTAAAGAAAAATCTTTGCAGAATCCTTCCTTCTTTTATGCTTTTCAATTAGATAACTAGGAGCAAATAACTAATATGTTTTGGGCCGATGCACAAATGATCATGGATTATGCCCAATTTGGTGATGTTGTCACATTTGATACGACTTACAAGTTAAACAAAGAACATAAACCCTTCGCATCTTTTGTGGGATTCAACCATTATAGGGAAAAAGTTATATTTGGTGCAGCATTGTTGTATAATGAGACCGCCGAATCGTTTGTATGGTTGTTTGAAAATTTTCTAGAGGCTATGTCAAGAAAGGCACCAAAAATTTTGTTCATTGATCAAGATGCTGCAATGGCTAAAGCTATACCCATCGTTATGCCTGACACAAGTGACTGATTGTGTACTTGGCATTTGATGCAAAATGCATTAAAACATGTTAATTGTTTGTTCCAAGATAAGGGGGTGGGTGGAAATGGTTGATAAATATGACGCACATGAAAACCATTAGTTGAAATTGACTTTTGCGGTGAAAGAAAAATGGGGCTGGCCATACGTTAGATCAACATGGGCTATGGGAATGAGTACCACACAACTTAGTGAATCTTTTAATGCCTTTTTGAAAGATTACATTCGTTGTGATTTTAACTTGAATGAATTCTTCATGCATTTCGAAAGGGTACTTTACGAGAAGCGATACAAGGAGTTAGAAGCAAGATATGCTTTGTGCCAAAGGTTGCCAAAGGTGAAAGTAACAATAAGAATGTTAATTCAAATGGGTAATGTCTACACAAAAAAGATCTTTGAGGAATTTCAAATGAGTACTTTCGATCCATTGAATCGGCCATAGAAGCAATTGAATATGGCGAGGCTAGTACCATTTACACAGTTGTTGATATTGGTAACAAACATGCAAGGAAAGTGAAGATGGAGAGGGATGACTCTTTGGATTGTAATTGTACAAAGTTTGAAAGGGAAGGAATCTTGTGTTGTCACTCATTGAAGGTTATTAGAGACATATTGAAGATGAAAGAGGTTCCTCCACAATACATTCTAAAGAGGTGGACCAAATAAGCAAGAGCCGAAACTGTGAAGGACATTAAGGGGAATGACATTCAAGTAGATGTGAAATTCCAACAAGTCTCGTGGTATAAGACATTGATGAACGCATTTAGAGCACTAGCAAGTAGAGCTGCTGAAACTGAAGAAACTTATGATTTTTGTATTGCACACCTTGCTACATTAGGTGCAAATGTTGAAGACAAGTTAAGTACTCATTTTGGTGTTGAAAATGAAGTAAGTAATGATGATGACAACCAAAGCTTTGAAGTGGATTGCGAAGATGTAAATCATGTTGTGCAACCAAAAGGATTGAAGAAAAAGGTGGCAACTAGTAAGGGCAAAATGAGGGTAAAAGGTGGATTCGAAGCGGCGTTGGTAGCGAACTCCAAAAAAAAAAATCCCGTGCTAACAGCTTGGCTTCATTACAATCTATTGCAAGTCCAATAGTTGCACATTCTCCATTATCTGTTGGAGGAGATATCTATGTTCGACAACATCTTCCTCATCTTCAACCTCTTCCTTCCCTTCATCCTCTTCCTCCATCTTTGGCATGGGTGGTAATTCTATTCCTCCGCCATTGATGTATCCCACATATCATGTAAGTGTTACTTTAACTTTGTATTTTTTGCAAAGCCTAATATATGACATTGTTGTAGGTGAACAATTTGCGGGAGATGTATGTAGTGCCAAATTCAATGCCTCAATAGTATTCTGCTTAACCAACATTCCAGTCACTACTTCAAGGTTCATGTGGATATGACATTGCGTTTTGATATTCTCAAGAAGCAAATAGTCTAATGTGTAGTTAGGTTCGTTATTTCAATTTCTTTTTAATTTGTAGTTGTTGAAAATTTTGGCTTTTTAGTTGCTCAAAATTCTGTGATTGCATGTATTTACTTGCTGAAAATTCTATCTTTTTCCCTTTTAGGCTATGGACAAGCAGAAACAGAAGCAAACTGATGCTAAAATTGGGCAAGAAAGTGAAGTCATAGCAGCTGAAATTGTGAAGCAAACTGCTGCTGGAAAGTAATGTTGCTGGTATGAAGCAAACTGTGGAGCAATGTGTGTTCAAATATTAATGGCTTGTATGTGTGTTCAAAGCAAACTGTGAGGTAATGTGTGAAGCAAACTGCTTGTATGTGTTGAAATGGACCAATGTGTTAATTTTTTGATGGACCAATGTGTTAATTTAGATAGACCAATGTGTTAATTTAGATGGACCAATGTGAGCAAACTTCAGTTGATGTTAATTTACTGTTGATGGTAATTTACACAGCTTTTTCATTTGTTTGAAAAATTATCCCATCTGGTTCTGCGGGTTCTGTTCTCTGTTCTGCTGTTATCTGTTGTGCTGGTTCTGTTCCTTGTTCTACTTTTTCAGCTGTTATCTGTTCTGCTGCTGGTATGTTGGTTCTGCTGTCATCTGTTGTGCTGGTGGTATGCTGCTAGAACCATAACATGTTAATGATATACTGGTTCTGGTATGTTGCTTTTGGGCTGATTGGGTTCCTATCTGATCTGGGTCTTTTTGTCATCCACCATTCCTGTAGATTATTGGTCCGGTTGAGATGAATCACTCATCCAATAAACCAATTTCTTTATCTTTATTTAATCTGAAAGCATATGTTGGTTGTATTGTGTTGATTAGGTCATTAATGAAGAGAATTTTTTTTTAGTTTGGATTATATTTGGATGATCAATTGTTGAATTTAAGATTAGCATACTCAATTTGTTGATTCTCCACATGTTAATGATTTGCATACCCAGAATGTGGTCTGAATCTGGTCTGGATCTGCTGTTAAACCAAAATGTGTTGCTGGTTATGTTGGTGCCAATGTTGGTTTTGGTTATGCTTCATGCTGCTGCCATACTCAGAACATTCCATCATGTGCCAATATGTTGTGTTGGTGCCAATGTTGGTTCTGTTAAACCTAAATGGTTCTGCTAGAGCTTCATGAGCTTCATGTGATGCTGTCTTGTGTTGAATGTTTGGATCTGTTAAATGTCTTGTCTTGTGTTGAATGTCTTGGTGCCAAGTTGAATGTTTCCCAAAATTTATTCCATCATTCATTTCATCATTCATTTCATAGCAGATAACAAGCTTAATGTTTCCCAAAATTCATTCCATCATTCATTCCATAATAGATAACAAGTTGAATGTTTCCCAAAATTCATTTCGTCATTCATTCCATAACAGATAACAAGTTTAATGTTTTCCAAATTTCATTCCATCATTCATTCCATAACAGATAACAAGTTCAACATTAAAAATCATTCCATAAACATAAGTTACATAATGAAGTACATAAAACCCCAAATGATACAAACTTCTATTCAGTTTCCCAAAATACAATACAGTACAAAAGTTACATCATAAAGTACAAAATGATAGAAAATACAATGAAATACACCATCGTTTTGATATTATTTTCAATTACTTTGTTCAACTGAAATATATATTGTTCTACTAATCAACTGACATGCTTAATTCTTGTAGATAACCCGTTGTTCCAGGCATTGCTCGCTTGTACTTGGCTGATAGAGCAAGACATGATGAATTAGCTACATAATGGACCCTGCGATTTGCGAGATAAATTTGATGAATTTTGATAAAAAGAGACCTTTGTACTTGATAGGTTTTATTTACACAAGCAGCCTCTTGCATGACCATCATATGTAGTGAGTGATGTCTCTGTTGTAAAAAATAATTAAGCATGTATGACTGATAATTAATTGCTTTTCTTTAAAATTATTGACAGCCTAGCAACTTAACTTTTCATATATTTGGTATAATTTAAGTTCGTTAGTTTTCAATTTTTTGCTGTTAAGGCAATGGAGATTATCAAATATATATATATATATATATGGAAGAGTAACTATGGGAGTGGTCAATATGAAAAGGATAGGGAAGAAAATAAAAACTCTCTTAGTATTGGAAAGCTTACTCTTAATGGTATTGGGGAAGGGGGAGTCGCTAAGAAGGTGGTGGGCCTGGGTGGAATAGATAGGAGCTAAAAGGGCGAGGTTGAACGTCGAAACTAAAATAAGAGGGTTGGGGTAAATACCATTGGGCTAAAAATCCCTTGGCTAGGAGTAAACAATTGAGTTGTGAGGTTCCACCTTCTTTGATTCTTATTTGCGGGTACTCTAAAAGTATTACCATACAAGTATCGGATACTTACCGAGTGCAGGTATGCGTATGGGTACACATACCGGTACAGCTGCACGCATACCAGATATGCCGTATACCGTTGGGTACGCGGTGGGTACTCAATGGGTTTGGGGTGGGTACTCCATGGGTATTCCGCAACAGTTTTTTTTTTTTTTGGTTAGAAGTTGAAATTTTATGCAAGTCTATGGCCTTATTTCTCTTTAATCATCTTCAAAAAATTTATGTAATTCAGAATCACCAACTCTTTACACTGTTATTAAGTAACATTGCTCTCTTTCACTTATTGTTGTATGAATATTGATTTATTTGGAGTTTCATAATTTCTCTTTATAGTTATTGTTTTGAACTTTGATTTATAAGTGGGATGTTTAGTTATAAATTTAAAAAATAAATAAATATTTGACGTACTCTAGTCGTATCTATACTTTACTTTTTTAGATTTTAACATATCCGTATCCATATCTATATCTGTATCCATATTCATATCCGTACCAACGCCCGTGCTCCATTGGCTGCAGCTGATCTGGTATGTATGTCTGTGTAAATTGGTCTTGGGTCTTTTCCTTATCGCAAAAAATATATATATATATATATATATCTTCCGACTAACCCACAGAAGTCTAATTCATATCTCAATTATGTAAGCAAACACTTAAGAATAGGCCTCGTCAAATGACCTTAGATTAGATTAATGCCTCATTTGGGAACAAATTTTTTTAATAATTTTTTAATTTTTTGACTAAAATATAATATAAAAAAACTAATATATTTGAGATGAATTTTTAATTTTTTACGAAAAGATATGCAAAAAGTAAAGAGAAAATGAAATTTTTGACTTTTTGGTATAGGTTGTTGGTTTTTTAATTTTTTTAGTCACTTTTTGACTTTTAAGTTAAAAAACTGACGTTGCCAAACGAGTCTTAAGACTGTAATAAAATAAAATTACTATCTGAAAAAAGATTGAGAGCTCTAAATTAAGAGCTTTAATAACTTTAATTGGTGTGTGAATTCTATGTGATATAATGTTTTGGTCTTGATTTTTTTTTTTTTTTAAATTTTCCACATCATTAATGTTCTTTTAAAATTCCCAAATTAAAGAAATATATCATTTCTAATTGCTACATAATATATTACCGGCTGAAACCAAATTGACTTTTATCAGTTTTTTGTCCCAAAACAGAGCCCCTGCCAAAACCAAACCAAATCAAATCAAATCAACCAATTTATAAACATCAAGTTGACTTCGTTAGGGGGCATGGGGTTCTATTTAGAAGAGAATGGGTTGTTTGGTTCAATAATGTTAGGGGAAATTTTATTTACACCCACCAAATTTTCTCATTTCATACACTTAATGAATATTTTTTATATTATATTTTTATCCTAAAATAAAAATATAAAAATATCCTCATTTTTTCAACTGATATCCTAATTCGTTGGTTTTCTCATTGACTACCTTAATCATGCTTTCCACCTCCAGTGAACCTCTCCTACCCGCTACTACCATTGCTCATTGCCCATTTCAACTCCGATGATACTCCTTGCCACCTCTACAGCCTACTCTATCATTCGAACTTGAAAATATTTCTTTTTATTCTGGAGTAATTTCAAGTGCATAGATTAGTGACCTGAAATACTTAACACTGGCCATTTTTGCTCTATCCATTTGAGGAAATATAAATTGAAGTATGGTGTTTATGCAAATAATAGTTACGTGGAGAGAATTTTTGTGGCTTTTGTAATTTACTTATTTTATCAATCTTCTTATCTGAAGGAGATGATTTAATAAATCCCACGAATTACTATGTTTAATGGATTGAATACATAGCCAACAAACTACAGTTTGATACCATGAGATGAGTTGGAATGGTGTGTGATGGGTTGGTAATGGTGGCTGGTGATGGTAGAGGGATGGGAATCGCAGTGGCGGCTTAAATTTCTGGCAGAGGAGGTAGTAGTTGGTCGGCCGATGGTAAATGAAGAATGGTGAAAGTTATGGTTAGGATTAGGGTTTGAAGAAGGAAGGAGATGACGACATTTTTGGTATAATAAGTTGTGTATTGAGTAAAAAAATGAGATTTCAAATTCATTAAGTGTGTGTTTTGAGAAATCACGTGCACAGAGAAGATTTGGTGTATGGAAATAGAAGCTCCCTAATGTTAGAGATCTCAAAAGTTTTATCAAAATTTTTATTAAATGTTTCATATAGTGTAGGACTTACACTATGGGGGTCTCATATGAATCTCACATCTATGTGAAACATTTAGTAGAAAATTTGGTAAATCTTTTAGAATCTCTAGCCCGACTCTGTTTGGTTTTGTTTATAGAGTTGTTTATGATTTTTTTTTTTAAATTTAAAATTTGGGTAAATTACCTGACCTCTACCATTTTGGTATAATTACTTGAGTTCCCATACAATTTTAGTTTACTTGACATTTACATCAATAATTTGTTAATCTTATGAATTAAAAAAATGATGTTATTATATCTTTTTACACTAAAATGTATATATTTTTCATTGTCTGTCAAGGTATTTTCACATCTTCTGCATTAGTTCCGGTTAATTTGGCATTACTAAAAAAGAAGGTCAATGTAATTATGTTAAAATTGTAATATTTGTTTTATTTTCTTCAAATTTTAAGGGAAGTCAATTTGTATCAAAGTGTTTAGTGTAATTGATTAAAAAAGAAGTTAATTATTGAAAAGCAGTATGAGAAGTGTTATTAACTTTAGTTTTTTTATTATTAATTTTTAACTTTTTTTGTAGTTGCATTAAACGACTCGGGGGTATTTTGAAAAGATGATTAAAAGTTATTTTTTAACTTTTTTGTGAGAGAAGAAAATAGGTAAAAAGTTGGGAAGTGATTTTTAACCCACTTCCCAAAATAACTCTCAATGTGAAAGATGCAAGTAGCAAGTGAACCGGAGCAATATACTAATAATACTGAATGGTTTTTCGGTCTTTTTGAAAGACTTAGCAAGAAAAAGGGAAAATATATATGAAATGTGAATTAAATATATTTATATTTTATATATTTTTTTAAAAAAATTATATCTAAATTTATACTCCAAACAGAGCGTAAAACCTTGATGTAATGAAGAATTCCAAACTTTTATGAGGAATCAATTAGTGGCATGGTATATGATAATGAACACTTAG